AACAAACACTGCCCAGTGTCGGCAACCCCTAATGATCATAGCATAAGTAGTCATTAATCTTCATCATATTTATTTATTTATTTATTTATAATATATATTTTTTATATGGACGTTTCTGTGTAGCCTCAGCTGGCTCAAATAATTGAGGCTCAGCCTTTCACTTTCAGGATCTTAAAAAAGTTTCTGAATTTTATAAAAGTCGTGTAATCTGTTTCTGTTGAGCAAGATATATCAGATCAAATGGGAAATAAATTGATATTATTATTATTATTTTTGTACTATATTTTTCTATAAATGAGCAACAAATTGGTATTATTTTTCTATATTTTTCCCAGATACGCTTGGTGGTGACAATTAATATCAAATAAATGGAGGGGGGGCTACCTGTAGCAGAAGCATCCAGAGACCACTTGCCCTGTTCCTTTATTTTTTTTTTGGAGCAAAGCATGCATATGGATAATGGAATCACAGCCTCTGGCCCTCCCTTGAAGTAAAAAAACTATGCACATGTGACACCTTCATGTACACATGCTTTGGAAATATCTGTAAATATTTGCCCACTGGACTCTCTCTCTCTCTCTCTCTCTCTCTCTCTCTCTTTCTCTCTCTCTCATTGCTGATGGAATATTATTCTTCGTCTATACCAGCAAATACCACAACCACCGTTTTTGGACCAAATAATTATTAGTAGTGGGGTTGTTTTCAACCACATTTTCGATCGATCTGTCCGTTTTGTCAACTTAGTTAATATGAATTTCCAGAAGCATTAGTTCCTCAGTCCTTTTCGCATTATATAAACTGCAGGGACCTCTGTATCATTAATTGTTAGAGATTCTGGTACCTTAAAATATGCAGATGGTTATATTTTCATAGTAATTTTTGGACACCAACTGGACTTTATTCATTTACAGAATATAAGATACTGTTATTTTCTACATCTTCATCTTGACAAAAATTTGGGTGGAGACTTCCAACGCGAGTTACATGTAATTTTCAAACATGACATGAGTTTTTAAGTTTTTATTTATAATTTTCAAAATGTAACACATGTTATGGACTCATTTATGGTCAAATTCTACCTACCAAAGTTGCCATTTTTCATTCCTTAATGGAGAAGTCGGGATTTCAACTTCATAGTACCTCTTCTAATATCGGGAATAGTCTTTGTTTAGATTTAATTTTAGTTGATTAAAACCATATTCCAATGTATTTAGTACTAATTAGGTGTGGGTTTCGTTTTAATGCTGGCCTTATGGCCGTTTAATTTCCTTTCGGTCGGGATCATGATCTTCATGCTAGGCCTATGCTTGGGTTTTAGTTAGATCTGGTCCTGCTCGTGTTCTGTTGCCAGTGTTCCTTGCCCCTTTGTGGGTTTGCAATGAATTGCCTTTCTGACAAAAAAAAAAAAAAGTGCAAGAGACAAAGGAAGTGGCTATTTCCTATTTGGAAGTTATGACATGAGAGAGTGAGACTTGATAATTTGGGATCTTCTATTATGACTATGACTCAATACCAATAGATATCTCTTGACATTTTGCTTAATACAATGTGAATATGTCTATTTGAACTTTACATATCCTCTTGCCCCTTGGCATATATGGATGTCAACTACTTAACTACTGCACTTTTTTTTTTATTCAATTGACAATACCTTTATATATACTTGTATAGTCAAGACACCTAAATTTTCTTTTTTCTTTTTGATAGCGACCTAGCTGATACATAAAAGATGAATTTCCTAATAACAACATTTCTCGATATAAACTATGCACCAAACATTTTACAAACAGTCAATTAAACTATATGCACAAATAATAAACTATATAATAAATAGTCGAAATGTACAGTTTAAAAACGTAACATATTACATGTTAGATTGCTAAAGTAACATAAGGAAAACATAGCAAAATAGTAGTTACAATATCTTATATTTGTATACCACAAAGCACTTTCAAGAAAGGGAGAGCATATCAGGTAAAAAAGTAACAACTCAATTAAGCTTCTACACTAACTTATTCATCCTAAGAGTTTTACTTAATCAATGGGTACTTTACATAAAGTACAGAAACAGAAGAAAAATAATTGAAAAGCCATCATGGTCATGTGGGGGTAAAAAAATGGTATGGACTATGGACCTGCCTTCAAATAATTTACAGAAATGAAAAATGGAATTAAGCTTCCACCAACCCTATTACAATTATTATTGTTGTTATTATTATTTTGGGGATGTCTGACATTAATTTCCGTTCTGCGGGTTAGAAAAGGCTGACATGCTGCTGATACGCAGCCATTACTTGCTCACTTGGTTTCTTAGGTGAGGAATTTAATTGGGATTTTATGCTCGCATTTGTGTGAACCTATTTATATCTCTTTTTGCTTTTATTTTCGTTTTACATTTTTTTTTTGGGGACAATTTGATAATGGCAACCAAGTCCAGATCCAAAGGTTTATCATATTAATAGATGAAATTCGATGTGATAATATGCAATTACCACATGTAAGAGCATTTATATCTCTTCAAAATTGTTGCATTCAATCCAAAACGTTATTATTTTGGTTATTTTTCTTAATAATATTACACTCATAAGACTCGATTGCTACCTAAAAAAAAAAACATGTCTAAAATTGCGAAAATTGACATGATGGGAACCAAAGTGAAAAATAGATCAAACTACATGAATCAAAAAATGTAACTTAGCCCATTGTTCATGTACCTTTTTTTTTTTTTTTTGGGTTGAGAAATTCTGGGATTACATTCATAATTTAGCTAAAAAAGTCACTAGCCACAAAAGGCAAATACAAACTAGCCACAAAGGGCCATTACAATAACGGAGTGATCTAACATCAAAATTAAGACAATTTGGGGCTCCTTCACTAACGATTGTGCAGGATCAAAGAAACTCTTGCATATGCATCAAAACTAGGAGTGAAAACTCAGAAGAATGAAAAGTAGATAGAGCTTGAAAAAAATAAAAAAAACAAAGCTATAATGCTACAAATAAAACTCTCACAAAGGAGAGGTGAAATCTACATAGAAAACCCAAAGAGTTTCTACAACTTATTCCAAATATGAAGAAACTGCAAAAAGGATGGTGATAGAGATCCAACACTGAAACGCAGGTGGAGATCCGACATCAAGACGCATCCGCCTATGATGAGTGAAGGAAAATCATTACAAAACGAAGACAAATAGGGAAAACCTTCAGTCTTTGAAAACGGAGGAAAATAGGAGAAGTGAGAGGGGAAAAAGAGAGGAGGGATGAGCCCCTCAAAGTGAAAATGATTATAGAGTATTTTTTGAGAAAGAGGGGGCTAGTTAGATTTCATAGGATGTGACTAAAAAAATAACTTTGTTAGAATTAATTTATTACTGAATAAAACTTTGAGTCATAGATCAAATGTACTGCAGTCGGTTAAACTTGATCATTCTATTATTTATTCAATTTTATGGGCAGTTTAGGACTTTTCAGAATTTATGGGAAATTTAATAGTTTAGATAAAAAAAAAAATGAAAACTTATATCATAAGTTGATTGTCGTAAATATAAAAGTTAATTATTTGGCCAAAAAAAAAAGTTTAATTAATTGGACATCAAGGACCTTTTGACAGACATCAAACGATGCCATTCCGGTAACTTTTTCTTCTTCTCCATTGTTGCAATGCAAGTTCATAAACCCACACAGGCTTAAGATTAGGGGTAGTAATTTGTGACACAATTCAGATAAATAATTCAAAACTGATAAAGAGGTAAACTTGCACGATTAAATAATTTGGGTAAAACTCAATCCACTACTGGGGTTGAATTTTGGATTAACTTGTCAATCCGTTTAATAAGTGGGTTGTGTCTATTTGTGACCCGTCATATTTAAAATGTTTAATTTTATTAATTTAAATTATATTTTAGACATTTAATTTGTATTTTCTAATAATATTTTCAAGATTAACGTAATTTTTACAGTGTATATGAGTAATATTATTGATAAAATAATATTTAAAAGAGTAAATAAGTTTAATTATGTTAAATAGATCAAATAGACACGAACCAATACCACCCAACATTGAGAGACCAAAGTTTATCCACTAACAAGAATCATATATAATACTAATACTCGTTGATGAGAAAACTATCGATGTTATCATCAATATTTGATCATGATTGTCAATAAGTACAAATAAGATATATTAAGAATTATAAAGTTTAGCAAGGGGCTTGTAGTTGAGTTGGTTAAGAGCGTTTACACATGTAGGTCATAGGTTTGATTCCTTCCTCCCCCGATATCGCTTTGTATATATAAAAAAAAGAATCATAAAGTTTTAACATCATTAAGAAAAAACTATAGTGTTGACATATGGACAACAACTAGATATGAACGTTAGATAAAGAAGATAGGTACATGAATGTTAAATATATGCATGTAATGTTGCCGAATTCAAAACATAAGATGGATATATATGTTGCCAAATTCAAAAATTAACTATTAATCAATTTGATTATTATATAAATGTTAGGTTATTACCATTTATATATATATGTGTACATATGGTCGTGTGTCATATTTCGGTTTGGTTTGGTTCGGCTCATCAATTTGATGGTGTTACCGTGTAAGTGCCCGCTCTCAAACTTTCCCTAGTTTGGGCCAAAGTTTTTCTCCTTAAATTTTTCTAACTGAAATGAAAAAAACATGACCTAAAACTTGATTGAGAAAAAAATAATTCAAGGATGGCGGGCAGACAGCAACGCAATAGATGGCCATCACTTGCTAACCTTTTCTAAACAGATGAGGCTCAATTTCTCGCGATATTTTACCAGTCTTTCGGTCACACGTTGCACGAGTCACACGTGACACTCATCAGCGTACTGTGAACTGTGTTTTGTTGTGTTGTCTTTTTGGTGAAGAGAAAGACTCATCAACTTCTTCTTCACACTCTCTCTCTCTCTGTCCTCTGAAGAACAATTTTAAAACTCCAAAACTTTCTCTCTCATTTGGCAACAGACCCCACACAGAAACCGTGAGAGAGAGAGAAGAGAAATAGAAAGAGAAGGAGAAAGACATCGATTTCGAGCCACCGACACTTACATACGTACGTCCAAAAAAAACCCAACAATTCTCTCTGTTTCACTGTATTGAAAATACGGAAGTACCCCTCTCCCCCCTCCACGGTCTAGCTCCACCGACACTCCGGTGGGGCACCACCTTCGCCCCACCACCACCACCACGACTGCTGCCTTTGGCTTCCATAATCAAAATCTGGGGCCTACCCAAAAACCCTTATTTTGAGAATTAGCTTTGGGGGTTAATTTAGATCACAGTGATATTTTAGATCCAAATTATATATTGATCTCCTCTGTCTCTGTCCCTATCTCGTCCCTTCTGTGTTTATGTGTTGAAATTTCAACTCCCACTTTTAGATTCTCTCTCCGTCTCTCTCTCTCTCACTCTCTCTCTCTCTCTCTCTAAAACCAAAAGTTTTTTTTCTTTTTATTGCTCTATATAATTTGGCAGCAACCTGTGTCACAGATCGAAAGCACCAAGTTTTCTTTGCAGACAGCCAATTTGTTAGAGGACTGGGTCTCTCTCTCAAGAAAAGAATCATTCATTACACACAAACAAAACATTTTTCTTTTTTCATTTTTTCATTTTTTTCTTATTTTAATTTCGCCCTTTTTTATATTCACTCGTTCTTTATTTCTCTCTCTCTCTCTCTCTCCTCTACCTATCTGTCTGTAAAGCTGTGTTTTTTATTCATTGTGTAATGTGGGGTTGGTGTTTCTTGTAATGCCTTTGAGAGTGTGTACTAAATTAAGCAACCTAGAAAGAGAGAGAGACACACACAAGAAGGAGAAGAGGAAGAGGGAGGTCAAGTGGTGTTCTTTGGTGGTTTCTGAGTGATGAGAAAGACAGAGAAAGTGGTTTTGTGAAGTGGGTCTCTTTTGAGTTTCAAGGCTCAGTCTGTGTGTTCTGAGTGCTATGGATACCAAAGGAAGACTTATTGCAGGTTCTCACAACAGGAATGAGTTTGTTCTCATCAATGCTGATGAGGTTTCAAGAGTAAGTCTTTTACTTTGTCTCTTCTCCCTTCCCCTTGTGCTTTTTGCATTTCCTCTCAACTCCATTTCTGATACTGGACATGTTGAGAGCCTTCAAAATCTGTTGCTTTTGTTCACTCTTTGTCCCAGAAATCATTTCTCGACCCTATGTCTACATTTGGAAGATACCCATTTGCTCATATTGACTCTTTCTCTCTCTCTTAAATTTGTTAGATCTTGAAATAAAGACGGTACATTTTTCCTTCTCTTTCTTCAACTCTGTTCATGCTGTTCCTTACCTCTTGATGAGCAAAATTTGTCTTCTATGTTTTCCTTTACCTCCTCTCTGGTTTCAACTGAGATTTAAAGCTGCAGTTACTGAATTTTGGTTCAGGATTAGATTTGACTTTTCTCAGTCACAATCTCTTTCTGGGTTCTGTGCATTGGTTGTGGTACTGTCTGGTTTCTCTTGAAACGGCTTCCGTAAAATTACTTTTTTATTTGGTGTCTTGTTCTTTCTTGGTTTTCAGAGCTGGTCAATGAACCGGTGCATAAGGCCTTCAACTTTGCTTCTGCAAAATTTATTTCGTAGTTTTCTAGTAAATTAACTAGTTTCCTTTCCAAGCAATTCAGTTGGGTGTTATAGGATTTCTTTCTCTTCTTCGGATGCTTTTGGTATTATTTTAGTCTTCGATCTGACGGAGATTGATATTGCTATGGTACCAATGAATTGCAGGTAACATCTGTCAAAGAACTGAGTGGGCAGATTTGCCAGATCTGTGGGGATGAGATAGAGATAACAGTGGATGGGGAGCCATTTGTTGCTTGCAATGAATGTGCATTTCCTGTTTGCAGATCTTGCTATGAGTATGAAAGAAGAGAGGGCAATCAAGCCTGCCCTCAGTGCAAAACCAGATACAAGCGCCTCAAAGGTGAGTCTCTTCCCCATATCAATCATGGTTTTGGTGATTTTTTATTTTTTGTTATAAATTTTTTTAAGAAAGAATACTGAAATTGCAACTTTCTGTTAGGGAGTCCAAGAGTTGAAGGTGATGAAGAAGAGGATGATATTGATGATTTGGAGAATGAGTTTGATATTTCAAGCAATGATAGGAGAGATCCTCACCACATTGCCGAGGCAGTTCTGGCTGCTCGCCTTAATATCGGACGGGGATCCCACGTCCACGGTTCAGGGATTAGCACACCAGCAGAATTTGACTCTGCCTCCATTGCTTCCGAGATCCCTTTGCTGACCTATGGCCAAGAGGTGAGTTAGTTTAACTATTTGATGTTCTTTCCTTGACAGTGATGGTTATAATTTATCTGTGTCTGATAAATTGATAATTGTTGTTTTTTGGTGAAGGATGTTGGGATTGCCTCTGATAAGCACGCTCTTATTATTCCCCCATTTATGAGTCGAGGAAAGCGGGTTCATCCAATGCCGACTACTGATTCCTCTATGTCCTGTAAGTTCAATAAATTTGCCTCAATATTTGCCTCAATTTTTGTAGCTGTTCAGACTGCTTAATCTTTCTTAGAGTCTGATTGTGGTGTTGATGATGCAGTTCCACCCAGGCCAATGGATCCTAAGAAAGACTTAGCTGTATATGGTTATGGAACTGTTGCATGGAAGGAGCGAATGGAGGACTGGAAGAAGAAGCAAAATGAAAAACTTCAGGTGGTGAAGCACCAAGGAGGAAATGATGGTGGAAACAATAATGGAAATGAGCCGGATGATCCCGATTTACCCAAGTAGGTGCTCCTTTAGAATAATCTTATATTCCTGGATCTATTATGTTATTTTATTCTAAATTGAAATGCGAAATTATTATATGAATTATTCTTTGAAGAAAAAAAGAGATGATAGTTTATATTTTATTGTGTGAAATTGTATTCTCTAGGCGTTAGAGATTGGTTATGTATATTTTTAGTTACTCAAACTTTGCAGTTCTTGTTAAAAGAGAAGGTAAACATTCGTTTAATTTAATGACAGTTTATATGAATGAAAAAGAAAAATATTTATCCATAACGTTTAAACTTTTCCTTTCTTAATGTATTAGTCTGAAAACACATACAGGGTACTGGCTACAGATACTCCGTGTAAGCTAAAGGACAATCCAAATGGTGCAATATTATTGTCCATTTTGGCACAAGTTTAAAATTTAGCTGTGTCACTACTTAGAATGATGTAATTTTGTTTCAACCAAAGAGAGTTGATTTTTGTAATTCTTTTTACAGGATGGATGAAGGCAGGCAGCCGCTTTCGAGGAAGTTACCCATTCCTTCGAGCAAGATAAATCCATACAGAATGATAATCTTACTCCGTCTTGCAATTCTTGGCCTCTTTTTCCACTATAGAATTCTCCATCCAGTTAACAACGCATATGGATTGTGGTTAACATCTATAATATGTGAAATTTGGTTTGGCATGTCGTGGATATTGGATCAGTTTCCTAAGTGGTATCCGATTGAGAGAGAAACATACCTTGATAGATTATCACTCAGGTAACCACCCTCTCTCTCTCTCTCTCTCTCTCTCTCTGTATGTGGCTTTTTGAAATATCTGTTCTAAGCTAGTGTGATTTTTTTTTTTGGGTTCAGGTATGAGAAAGAAGGGAAGCCATCTGAGTTGGCCGATCTAGACGTATTTGTTAGTACTGTTGATCCTCTTAAGGAACCTCCACTTATCACAGCAAACACAGTTCTGTCCATCCTCTCTGTAGATTATCCAGTTGACAAAGTTGCATGCTATGTCTCTGATGATGGTGCTGCAATGCTCACTTTTGAAGCCCTCTCAGAGACATCTGAGTTTGCAAGAAAGTGGGTTCCATTCTGCAAGAAGTACAGTATTGAACCCCGGGCCCCAGAGTGGTACTTTGCACAAAAAGTTGACTATTTGAGAGACAAAGTAGATCCGACATTTGTCAGGGAACGTCGAGCCATTAAGGTTTACCACGTCTTTCTTCATTTGTTTGTGTTACAGTCTGACATGTTTCTGGTCTGGCATTTAGCTTCTTTGATAACCATCTTTTAGTTAAAAAAAGAAAAAAGAAAAAGATGATTTTCATTAAAAAAAAAGAAGCTCAAATTATAGTGACAACCTTGCAATGATACACACACTTTTGGTTGGTGCTGGATGATGACGTTTCTGATCTGCTGTTGTCATTTTGTTGGCATAGAGAGAGTATGAAGAGTTCAAAGTTAGGATAAATGGGTTGGTCGCCACAGCACAGAAAGTTCCCGAGGAGGGTTGGACAATGCAGGACGGGACTCCATGGCCTGGGAACAATGTCAGGGATCATCCTGGAATGATTCAGGTGAGGCGGTGTTCATTTAATCAATTCATGATGAAGAGCCAATCCTTTTTGAGTATTTCTAATCTTTATGTTTTTGGGGCAGGTTTTCCTTGGGCAAAATGGTGTTCGTGATGTGGAAGGAAATGAATTACCACGTCTGGTTTATGTGTCCCGTGAGAAGAGACCAGGTTTTGATCATCACAAAAAAGCTGGAGCTATGAATTCTTTGGTATAGCTCTCTTGTTGTCTCTGTCTCTCCCTCTCCCTCTCTTTCCCTCTCTCCTCTCTGAACTTGTTTAGGTTTTCAGTTGTCTAATTTTTATTTACATGCTGGCTAATAAATCAAGGTACGGGTGTCGGCAATCATCTCAAATGCTCCATACATACTGAATGTTGATTGTGATCACTATATAAACAACAGCAAAGCACTTCGTGAAGCAATGTGCTTCATGATGGACCCCACATCAGGAAAGAAAATCTGTTACGTACAATTTCCTCAACGATTTGATGGGATTGATCGTCACGATAGATACTCAAATCGCAATGTTGTATTCTTTGATGTAAGCACCTTGTTTGTTTGTTTATTTTATTCAAAGAGTAGGTGAGAAGTTGCAAAAACATGATTTTTTGTGAGAGAAGCTAATTCCTTTCATAATTTGAATACAGATCAATATGAAAGGTTTAGATGGTATCCAAGGACCCATATATGTTGGAACTGGTTGTGTCTTCCGAAGGCAGGCACTGTATGGATATGATGCTCCTACCAAGAAGAAACCACCAGGGAAGACTTGTAATTGTTTGCCAAAATGGTGCTGCTGGTGTTGTGGATCTAGAAAGAAGAACAAAAAAGCAAAGTCAAATGATAAAAAGAAAAAGAACAAGGATGCTTCAAAGCAGATACATGCACTAGAAAACATTCAGGAGGGAATTGAAGGTAAGAGGTGCTTTACAAATGGATAGTATAGTTAGTTTTCCCCCTTACAGATCAATCTTGAATTTCCTTGCTCAGGCTACTTGTGAATGTGGATTGTTAATTTGATTTCTGCAAGTGATTGGTTGTGTTAAACACAGATGTTTATGATTTTACTGAAACTTTATTACAGGAATAGACAATGAAAAGTCATCCCTAATACCTCAAATAAAATTTGAGAAAAAATTTGGACAGTCGCCAGTTTTCATCGCTTCTACACTCATGGAAGACGGTGGAGTTCCAAAGGGAACAAGTTCGGCATCGCTCTTGAAAGAAGCCATCCATGTCATTAGTTGTGGCTATGAAGATAAAACAGAATGGGGAAAGGAGGTATGCTGCACCATTTATGGAGTTTGACTTATGAATGACTCAAGCTCATATGATTTGAAGCTTGGCATTTTTCTGTTTTCTAAATCTTATTTCTGTTCCAGGTTGGGTGGATATATGGCTCTGTTACAGAGGATATCCTAACAGGCTTCAAGATGCATTGCCATGGCTGGCGATCTGTGTATTGCATGCCCAAAAGGCCTGCATTCAAGGGTTCAGCTCCTATAAACCTATCTGATCGGCTTCACCAGGTGCTTCGGTGGGCGTTGGGATCTGTTGAAATATTATTGAGCAGGCACTGTCCAATTTGGTATGGATATGGGTGTGGTTTGAAATGGTTGGAGCGCTTTTCTTATATAAACTCAGTTGTCTATCCTTTGACATCTATCCCCTTGCTTGCCTACTGTTCCTTGCCGGCTGTCTGTCTCCTTACTGGGAAATTCATTGTCCCTGAGGTAATTTTCCCCTTTATTTTGGTCTGGAATATATATATATATATATATATATATATATATATATATATATATATATATATATATATATATATATATATATATATATATATATATATATATATATATATATATATATATATATATATATATATATATATATATATATATATATATATATATATATATATATATATATATATATATATATATGTGTGTGTGTGTGTGTGTGTTAGAACTTTATTTCCCCTGGCCCTTTTTAGGAAATATATATTTTTTGTAAGGCCTAAATTGAGAATGCTGTGCTTGCTTTATTTATTTCTGTTGCAATGCTTTTAGGTAATATTGGCTTTCTCTGATTAACAGATTAGCAACTATGCCAGTATCCTTTTCATGGCTCTCTTTTTATCCATCGCTGCAACTAGCATACTTGAGATGCAGTGGGGACATGTTGGCATACACGACTGGTGGAGGAATGAACAGTTCTGGGTTATTGGTGGTGCGTCATCACACTTTTTCGCACTCATCCAGGGTCTGCTCAAGGTTTTGGGCGGAGTTAACACAAACTTCACTGTCACATCTAAAGCAGCGGATGATGGAGAGTTTTCTGATCTATACCTCTTTAAGTGGACGTCACTTTTGATCCCTCCCATGACCTTATTGATCATAAACATTATTGGAGTTGTCGTTGGGATTTCTGATGCCATCAACAATGGTTACGACTCATGGGGTCCTCTCTTTGGTAGGTTGTTCTTTGCCATATGGGTCATTGTCCATCTTTACCCATTCCTAAAGGGTTTGGTGGGAAGACAGGAGAGACTCCCCACAATCATTGTGGTCTGGTCAATTCTTCTCGCATCGATCTTCTCTCTATTATGGGTCCGAATCAACCCATTTGTATCAAAAGGTGGTATCGTATTAGAAGTTTGCGGGCTGGATTGTGACTAAGGTCCACTTGTACAGAAGGTTTAGATGGTGTGAGTTCTATAAAGTAGCTGTTTGGGCAAACAAAAAGAGATCGAGTTCAAATGCGCCATGTTGTTCAATCGAAGGTAAAATTGTTTCGAACAGTCCTATTTATAAGGATAAATCTTGTGGTAAAAGATGAGATGGGAAGAAAGAGCAATCCTGGGAGGTTGCATGTAGATACAAAGGGACTGGATCTGACACATTGATTGTTTTGCAAAGTGTTCATTAATTCTTTAATACATGGATTTTGTGGGTTGGAAGGGGATTTGTATTCAGGTCTGTCTGTAATCCCATGAGAAGATAAAGTTAGTTTGATTCATAATTTATGTTCCCTTCTCAATAAGGGGGTTGGTTCATATATATTAGTGTCATAAAACCTTGTCCTTTTGTGCAGTATTTGAGAGGAAATAGCTGCAATCTTAGGGTGATGTATTTTTTGAGATGTCCAAATGTGTGCCAAACAAAGGCAACTCTTCTTGTATGTGTGCTTATTTAAGAACAACTCAACTTTCAATAAATGTTTGGTTTTCTTTCTTCTCTTTCTTTCTTGTGGCTTGTTTGGAGGAAATAATGACTCTTTTTCTCACCTCTATGATACTTCTGTCTATAAGTTTGACTTCAGCTTTTGCAATGAAGGCCAAATTGGTAACTCTCTTCTTTTTTCTTGACGGTGTGATGACATTGTGACGTGGTAAATTATTCTGGCGAACTCACAGTTTTTGAATGTCTGCTTTTTTCTCCTAGGAATCCTATGGAATTAATTTCCTAGCTTATTCAGTAAAGGGTTAATTACTGTAGACGTCCTTGAACTATGGCTCCAGTTGCAATTGGGTCCGTGAACTAATTTTTGAGGCAATGAAATCCTTTAATTAGACAATCAGTAGCAATTAGGTTCTATCGTCCAACTCTGTTAATTTGTTCGTTAAAATGAGGGGTAAAAGCGTCCTTTCGAGTCTGAAGAAAAAAACTGAAAATAAAAATAAATAAAATAAATAAATAAACTTAAAAGTAGATTCTCAAAATCCTTTTTCGACGAATTTGATTTTCTTTTGCCATCCTGATTAGATTCTCAAAATCCTTTTCTTTTTCCTTTTTTTGTAGCCCCAATTCACATTCACGTTTTCATAAGCAGAGAGTTGTGTAGGGGAATTGACAAACTTTGATGATGGCCTGTAACCTGAAAACCACGGTGGCTGACTGGTCGGGTCTTCCTCAAGAACTTGTCGACTCCATTGCCAAACAGATAGCTTTCTTGGAGGATCCAGATAGAGAACAACAAGCTGATTTTGTTTTGTTTTTTTGGTGAGAAAAAACAAAACCCATCAGTCAAAATCAAATTTTGGATTTTGGATTTTTTTTTTTTAATTAATGAGAAAAGGAGGTTAAAGAACCCCAATCTACAAATGAATGTTTACTATGAGGTTGTGCACCATCCGATCTGCAAATGAAGCTGGCCATCGTGAGGTTACAACAAGACATAGAGCTAACCATCGTGAAAACTCCAATATACCCCTCACAACAAGAGCACGTGCCATTCACATGGTCAAACTCGACGGATTCTGTTACGATAAGACCTAATTGCAACTGTTTGTCGAGTTAAAGGATTTCATTGCCTCAAAAATTAGTTCACGGACCCAATTGCAACTGGGGCCATAGTTCAAGGACGTTCACAGTAATTAATCCTTACGTAAAAGCCTTAAACTAAATCCACCTATGAAACAACAAATTAGGGAGGAAATAGGCCTCGCCTATAACACCTAAGTTCATTCACCTCTAAGGATCTGGATCCTCTGCTTTGATATGCGAACCTCAGATTTAAAAATAACAAATTTACATATTTGCATATAAACCCTAAAATTGCAATAAAGCACATTAACAAATTTACATTTTTGCATTTGCAAACTTTTGTCCCTAGTCATTCTCTCATATTTAAAATAAGCAATCCAATACAACACCATACTTACACTGGACCCCACAAAACTAACTGTACCATTAACAAGTTCATTTACAAGCAATACTGTAAATTACCAAAAGACTCTTGAAGATCTGCATGAGGTATGCTTCAGCTGAAAATGAAGGGTCACTTTAACTCGTATTTCCATGGCCAACACTAATAGGTCTACTTCTTTTGGAGATCCTTCAATGCCGGCCTAGGTTGCAAAGTTTTCACTGCTGAGTTGGAAACTTTGTCGCTCTTTGTGTTTCTGAAATTTTCCTTCATATCAACAGCATTGACAAAACTCTTTGGACGACTAGGGACCAGACTACCTGTCTCGTTCTCCCTTGGCGCAGAAGAAATACTGATACTTTTGTCTGAATCTGCCTCCCAACTCCTTACCCTAGGTGATTCCAAATTGTCTGAGAAGAAATGAGCAAGAAGGTCAAAGAATCAGCTTGCATTTTCAAGTAAATCATGCTGGAAAAAATACTCGGAGAACCAATAAAGAGAAACAAATTGACTTTCAAGTGCAAGATATGTGTACCTTTTCTCAAAACTGAATCTGCAGATTTGGGACACTGATCTGCAGTTACATTCTGTTCTGACACAATCTCACTCTCAACTGAAAATTTAGTATCTTCAACATCAGGGTTCACGTTACTTCGAGCTTGCATTAAGTAATTCGGATCACTGTTTGCTGCTGGCACATCAATTGGCACATCAAAAGCACCAGGATTGCTGCCACTCATCTCAGAATCATCTACCGATTTCCCTGTACGTGCCCAGACATTAGAATATTCAATATCACCAGACTCATCAATATCCTCATGATCAACAAACACTTGGTTGATAGGCCTGATTCCTTTCTCCTTTGGTCCTTTATTTACACAGGTGTTCCCATCTGAAACAGGAGGATGAGTGGATTTCAGAAGTTCATCTGCCATTCTCTGCCCATGATCACTGTGTTGCTTGGCAACAACTTGAGCAATTCCCAGATCATTTTCTATACCTTCCTTCACATGCTCACCAACTTCATTCATCAGATTGGCTTTACTCAGACCTGCATCTAATTTCTGAAATTCATCTCTTTTGATGTCCCCTACAATCAGTTTCATCTCAAAATCAGTCAATCCAAACAATTCAACATTTGACTCCAAGGCTTTGTTATTCCCCAAAACACAGTATAACACTTGTCTTTACAGATCTAATACTCTACACTTTTGGAGGCATGGATAAATAAAAAGTATAACATGGTATCATGAGATCAAAGTTCGAAATCCTAAAAGTAAAACTATAACTTCCCAATCTATAGACTTCCACATGTTGGACTATTCAAGAAAAAAAATAATAGCAAACTCTTGGAGTCGTAGACTCATAGTTAATTAAAAGTATTAGCAGTGAAGTCCAAAATTAAACACTCACCACAACTAGAAAAGTTGGTAACAGGAGACCCAACAGGGTAATGAATACCCATTTCCAGAGTAGATTTTAGCTCCATAACTTCCTCCGATTTATGCTCATGGTCAGTAAGTTGCCCTGCAGCAACTTGTGCAATACCAACAGCACTTTCTTTCCCTTTCTTCACATCCTCACTATCTTCAATCATTGAATCGACTTTTGACATGTCTGGATATGATTTTGAAAATCCATCTATTTCGTCATCGCTGAAAAGTTTTTTTATCTCAGAACTGCTGAATAAAGGCGAGGCAGCATTTAACTCCAAGGCTTTAGTTTCTGTTTAATCACAAAGATACAAAAACCGTTAGAGAAGGAACTGTTTTCAATAAAAAGTTTAAGTTGAATGAAGATTAATTTTTTTATTTTTGTAAAAAAAATAACTACAAGATATATAGATACTACTAGGGCTCAAACATAGATACTATTGTTCCCCCCACTCCCCACCCCAGGCCACGTGGCTTAGGAAATGAAGACAAATATACATAAGAGTTGAAAATTTTGGAAACAATTATTAATCTGCAGTTGCTTCTTCACCTTGATGCAATAAGCACTGACCATGACTAGAATCGGTAGCTGGAGAATCAGCAGAGCAATCGACACCCATTTCAGGTTTAACCATAGAGATGGGATGGAAGTTTTCAAAACCGGGGGATTCCTTTGAGTCACCAGAAATGATATCCCTATCATTAAGATTAAGCAGATCAATTACTTCCTCAGTCTCTTGGGAGGTCCTCGTACGATTAATGCCAACATTGAGACTTTCAACAACCTTCACGCCTGAGACTCTTTCCGGCACTCCAAATTCATTGCCTTGTAATTCAAGATCACCACACTTCGCTGGATCTGGTTGGAGAACAGATTGTATAACTTCATTTGATGCTCTCTCTTGAACTTCACTGTCTACCGGCACCACCATATTTGAAGGACCTGGAGATTTGTTCGCATTTCCAAGCTGCATTTTTGCCAAAGCAAAATCAGAAAGAGACCCCGACTGTGTTTCGTCCACCAGGGCATCCATAGAACTTCCGATATCATTTGCTGCCACTGTGTGCTTTTCCAGAATATCAACCTCATCAAAGGATAACTTCTGGTTTTGGCTTCCATGTAACAAGGCCTCATCTCTTTCACGAATTATTCCGCCTTCAACTGGTGATTTGAATTGATCTTTAAGTTGATCTCCTTCTGCAGATTAAATAATTGTTATTGTCTCATAACTCACTGGATGGAACACATTTTTTTTTCTCGAAGTGCCAGAGAATATAACAAGGTACTGTCATTGCTTATCAAGTGATAAGAATAAACAAGAAGCATATGAACATACAAATTTCTCAACAAGATTAACAAGTTTCCAACCTAAAAGAGAAACTGTACCCCTATCCTCATAAGTCATCTCCTTTTCTTCCGCATTGTTTCTACCCTCACTTTCATTTAATCCACTTAGATCTCCTGCATTTGAGACAATATAAAAACTTAAGTATATACAGTTACTCAAATCAAAATCACATTATAACCAGTAAAATCATATATTCAAGATTAATCATCGAAAGATACCAAGAGATGAAGAATCATTAAACATGAGACAATGGCACCACCTGAATGCATTTGACGTTTGGCACAAAAGTTACCAGCAGATAGATTGACTTGTGTAATACTTTCAGTATCAACTATTCTATCTGTGTCAGCCAAGCCAGGTTCGTTTTGTGACACTCTGTTACTCACACCGGCATTGCCCAAAATAATCCCATGATCACAGCAGCACAGATCACCCAACTCATCTCTGACCAAGAAATCACCAGTATTATCTGAATTAATCTCAGTTTTCGAACTCACAGTTAAAGAATTTATACCACCATCCAGTGTTCCAATATTATCATCCATATCAGCATTGCCATCCGTGTGCATACTGTCAACTGAAGCAATGGAAGGATGTCTCTTCATCTCTAAAGATACTTCCT